CACAAGGAAAATCAATATTGTTTAAAAGACATTTCGTAGTTTTGCCTTGATACATGAGCTGGATTGGCAAAAAATTTCCAGACAAAGTACATCTAAATACAGCAGTTATCTGACGTTTGTCATCAATACCAGCCTTTCAATACGCTTAGTTCCCTTCTTTTCCATCGTCCAAGAGCAAGATGGAACCACTTGTACTGCAGTTTGGTCCAAGTTTATTATTAAACTAGATGGTATATCCTCCATTTCAACAACGCCATTTATATGAAATAAAAAGTTCTCATTTAATTCTAAAAAATCATGTGGTTGAACCTTCGATTTGGAATTTGCACGTCTCTTTGAAAAACCTATCCTACGAAGAACAGATTTGGTCCATTCTTTTCTAAGAGTTGGTGCTTCACAAGAATAAGTATGCTTCTTTGCAATTGCTGTGCCATTTGAGATAACAATACTAGTTCCAATTGGAGTTCTCCAAAGACGCATACTTTTGATCCTTTCTTGTAACAAATGATCAAGCTTAAATCCAAGAATAGGAGGCCTCCCAAGGGTTTTTGAAGGAAGAAGACACTTGATGCTCATTTGTTGATCTGGTACTTTCACCTTACTCTTCCTTTGCAGCTCCAATTGATAAAGCTTTAGCCAGTCTCTCTCTTTTAGCTGTTTCTCTTTAAAGTGTTTCAAAGCTTTGGTCACAAGCGTATTAAGCAATGGTGGCATTTTCGTCTGGAGAAAGACGCATATATTCTCCTCTTTTCTTCTTATAAATTGATTTTGAAACATTTTCTAAAGGTTCTGCTTTAGTTTGAACTTAATTTCCTTGATCTGGGAGCCTTTTGAAGTAGCTGTGTAGAATCATGCGAGCTGCGCGGTTTTCCTCCATCATTAGTCATAAAACTAAAGAGTTAAAAATTGAGATCACGTGATATTAACTATGCCACGTGGTTTCAATTATTAACCCTTTCACTACTATTTAGTGGGGGTTAAATTTCGCGATTTTAGCTTGACCACAAAATTAACAAAAATTAATCCCCCAAGAAATTTACCACCCGTATGGTAGTTCCTTCGCCCAGTGAATAAAATGGATTTGTGAACCACCTAGAGCATTAGTTATGCCACAAACTAGGATCTTTTCACCATATGCTGCTTTTCTTAAACAACACTTAATCCATTGACACATTAGCTCTTTGGAAGGTACAGTTAGCTTTAAAGGATTCAGATCATCTTCTGTA